GCAGACTCTGATGTGTTCTCCAGAATACAAGCTTCCACCTAAAGCAAATTTTAAAAAGCCAAGTGCATGATTTGCATCATATTGAGATCTCAGTATTTCATAGTCTGCATAGTGAATACGTTTTGAGATATCAGGTTCCAGTTCATAATCTGAGTCAGAAAGAAGACAAGTTCAAACTCCAATACCCCTTTTTTGAATTTTCATTTTCAAATTGTGTTTATTTATTTATTTATTTATTTATTTATTTAAAGTTTTTGATAGTCCCGAGCACTTTTCGCTAGGTTTGAGCTTTGGGACCTGGAAAATATTTTTTGTAGTTTCTTTTTCAGATCAACACCTACTTTTCAGACTCTTACAAGCTAATGAATAGAACTGAGGTTCTGAGTTTAGTTTTTGGTGCTCAATTCACATATTAGAATTTCAGGCATGATTTAGGTTTGCTTTAGAAATCTGGCTGCTAGGGTTGGGATTTTTTCAACCTTTGTGAGTTTACTGTGGATGCATTCCACCCTAAATGTCTTTTAATGCTGAATGCCTTTATACACAGTTTGTTGTCCATTAATTTAAACAACATTATTCACACAAGTAGGAGTACTCATGGCAAAAGGATTGGAAGGTTTAGTTCATAACTTGGAAAGCCTCAGAACTCAGGATGAGAGGCATAAGATGAATGAGTAATTATAACAGTAATTAACACTATTAACAACGTACCAAGAACAAAACTGTGCATTATTAGCACTGCACAATGACAACAGAATGTGTTTGAAATGACACTCTTAGCACAGTTTTCTTTGGGAAAACTCTTGGTAATGTGAACTGAATTGAACAAATATGCTGTGGTCTTTTTGTTCCTTTCTATATTGTGAAATCTGCAACATCCAGAAAGTTTTCAAGCTCCAATTTTCAAAGCTATTTCAAGTAACGGGATCCTCAAAAATCCCAAGATTTTAAGCATTTCACTGCTGATGGTGATAGCACAAACACCCAGCTAATATTCATATTAGTTTGTCCAGTTTGGCTGGACATACTGAACTCACCCTGACATTCATTCCTGTTGAAAGGATGTCCCACAGAAATGAAGATGAAATTCTGAATTTTGAAATAGTTGTGTCATCTATTCAATATTCTTTGGATTACTTGGCTAATCAAGATGTCTGCTAACACCTTTATAAATAAGGATAAAAATGGCACCAACTAAAAAGTGTTGGACTCCTGGGATATGGATTGGAGGATGTTGAGATTTGTTTTGTTTTTTTAATGAATCCTAGCCTGTCGACAGCTAAGCTTGTTCAGTTTAATAATCTAATAAATATTTCTGAATGGTGCCATTGTGTCGTATGGTGATATCTGGCATTATAAGCTAAGGACTCAGTGGAGTAGAAAATAAAATAAAGAAAACCTTCCTATAGCAGAAATTATACTTTTGGTTGGTGGGAAATTCACATTAATTTTGCTTGTGTTTTCACTTTACAAATGCATATCAGTTTTATATTTTATTATGATTTTACTCATAAGATGCACCCTCCTTTGAGGCTTAAATTGTAAAATTCACTTTTGAGTCTTCCTAAATTTTATCTAATTGTAGTTCGTATGGAATTACTAATATATGAAGCTTCCTGTACTATTGTGTCATAACAACAACAATCCATCCACTCCGATATATTTCTATTTTACTTCAAACCACTATGCTGGCACATTATTAGTAAGGCTTTTGGAGATCCAACAAAAGCCACATGCAAGAACCAGTGAGGCTTACTGATAAACTGGCACAGGGCATAGTAACAGCAATGCAACTTGACAATTTATGCCACAAAGTCTGAAGGGCACACTACTATATGTGCCAATTAGAAGTCTGTAAGCATCCTAGTATATACAATCACATTCCTTAACTGAGATATAGGTATCCCAGCCATTAGCACAATACTGTATAAACGCACATTTTGGGTAGTGCAATTAATTGCAGTGACAGCCCAATTTTAACCTTCACTCTGCCCTGTTTGGTGCTAGTTTATTAATGAAAAGAGTTTAATGACAAGTTTACTAATGGCAGGAAGAACTGATGTTAAATAGGCTCTTATACAAGCATCAGAACCTCTCTCTGAGAACCAATAACCCAAAAAATCAGATCATGGGGCTTTCTATTCTCAGGGACAATTGAATAATTTCCCTTCCCGTTCCTAAATCTACTTGGAAAAGCTCATCAAATTCCTCTTCTCCTCTGATGAGTTTCAATTTGGGAAGCAAATGCAATAAAGAGATGGAACTGCTAAAATTTAATATAGTAATTTATTTTCTGTATAGCGCTAAAAATGGGCTAGATATGTTAAGCAACTTGCAAAAGCACATGGCCTCTGCCCCCAAAGAGTTTATAATTTAGGCAAGGATTTACCATGTAAACAAATCTGCATACATTTTGAGAAAGACTGCAATATTTTAGTTTGTGAGAAAAAGAAAAATGAACAAGGCTGCTTCATTTGGTATCACTGCAAATTGTTCTAGTGAACAGTATTTGCCAAAATTACCGTGTCTCCATTATGTGATGGATTATAGGTGAGAACATATTTGCATGCAATTATGTAGTGGTGACTGCACTAGGGAGTGGTCACTTGATGGTCTTCTGGTTCCATTGTTAACATTCTTTCTAAGCGTTGATAACTTTTTGATCTTTGACTCTTTGTAACAATATTCAGGATGAAGGTGTGACATCTCTTGGGAAGTTAAGCCATTTGTTTTGTTTCACAGACTTGAAGTGCTCAAAATTGCTTTGAAGAGCTTAAATAAAAATTTTAAACTGGGAAGGCAACATAATACTGAGGATTTTGTGCCTGTAAGAAAGATATCTTAAGAATTAGTTAGCGCCAACCTATTTTCTCATCTCATAGAATTAAGACTGATTTCTCCCATAAAATCATGCCTATGCTGAAAATTAAAACTGCAAAGAATAATTGCTATTGGCCAATTCTAAACACAGAGCAGGTTAGAACAGATTCTCCACCTCAACAATTATATTGATTTGGGAATGGTTTAGAATCAGGCCATTACAGACAGACAGACAGGTAGATAAACTAATTCAACATTTGATCGGCTCTCATAACAACGGGGAAGAGAAATATCTCAGAGCCTACGGTTATTAGAATATTATAGTACAAATATCATGTAATTTGCTAGTCAACATACTTTGTTGAAAGTAATAGCACGATCTAGTGTCAGCGGATGTCTGATGCATCATCCTTGGATAAAGAAAACATATGCCATCAGAAAAAATATTAGAATTGAACTTATTCATTGTGTAAAATTGGATCATGTTTATGGTAGCTAGTGATGACTTTAAAAAAATCACAATAATCCTTTCAATCTGGCAGAGAAGGAAAATGTAATTGTGGGATGTCATTACCTTTTCTAACAAATGCTATTAATTCAAAAGAAAGGTTCTGTCTTTCTAACTGTATTCTTCACAAAACAAGTTTCCAGCTAGGAGATCCTTCAAATACCTAATGTGAGCTCAACACAAGAGATAAACAGTATTAGGTCAATCACAACATGTTTATTATACATCATGGCTTCAAAACTTGACAGACAAAGACAATAAGTATCTAAAATGACTATCCTAGACAAACAACCATGGAAACTAGCCTTAGGTCATTTAGAGTCTCATCCTGCTTCTACTCAAGTTGATGGCAAGACTCCCATTGGTTTCAGAGTGAGCGGGATAGGGCAAGAACCCCGTATTCAATCTCCACACTTGAATTGTGAGGAGTTTGGTTATTATTATAGGCTCTCCATGTACTGTCCTTTTGTGTGCCTGTCCTCATAATTCAAAAGGCTCTATGTTGATTCATCTCCAGTTTAATTTGCCTGCACTAGGCATGTGCACAGTTTAACCAGCCAATATTCCACTGTTTGCTGTCATCTAGCTAAGCAAAACCTTTTCTGGTAGGCTGGATGGGGCCTTCTCTGTTGTAATTCACTGCATATAGTTAGTACACTGGACCACTGTTACCGCCACTTCAGGTACTAAGGGGTTTGGTTTTCTTTTTTGTTTGTTTTTCTTTTCTTTTCCGCCAAAGGGTTACACATCTTCAGAAGTGTTAATGCTTTTAGTTTGGAAGAATTAATTTTCCAACCACAGGAAAGCCTTTGTCCCTGTTTGTTTAGTTAAGCAGTACACTAGAAAATGCGTCATTGCTCAGATAAAGTAACTATGTTAGCAATAGTCAAATTATTCTATGCCTAGATACTTAACTCTATGTAATATCTGATTTTACAAAAAAAATTAAAGGCACGCATAAACATAGTTTGTAAGTTTGTAGCTCAAAATCAAGCTTCATTGTTGAATCCAATTGAAAAGGTAGTAGTATTCTGCTTATTGTCATTCCGCTATTTCACTAAAACCATTCAAAGGATGCACTTTTACCAAAGATTGGGAAAACATTAAAGACTGTGGTATTGCTGTGCTGCAGCTTTAAAAGAACAAACCTTGGCATGATTCTGGTTCTCCAACTGGGACCTTCCCCATAAGCTAATGTTGTGAGCAAACATGTCAAAGTCCCCTACAACCCTCCTCCCACCTTTTTATTTTCTATTTTATTTTACAAGTCCTTTCTGTCTAGATCAATTGTGAGATACTTCTAAATATTCTTCTCTCCAAACCTGTTACCCATCCTCTACTCCACATTACACATATATGAATAGGTTTCTGGCTGTACATACTGTACATTACATGGGCTCTGGATGTTATTGAACCCCATCTGTTTCACACAGTAACAAATATGGCAATTTCTATGCTCCTCAGGAGCATCAGCACAGAAGTCCTCTTTTGTAGTTTAATTAGCAGTAATCCCCATCTGGGGGAGGTGAGACATTTCACTTCGCTGGTTATAACACTTTGGCCAGGGTAAGGAGACCAAAAAAACCCCCACCCTCTACATTTAATCAGCACTGCAGCATGGAGAGAGACAAACACACACAGACATACAAAAGAAATCACAAAGTCAACTCACAGAATCTCCAAGTCACGCAGGGCTCTGAAGGCTCCATCTTCAATGCAGCTGATCTGGTTGTTGTCCAGTTGCCTGCAGGAAGGAAGGGAAAGTATGAAGGTTTGCTGGGTAACTAAGCTGCCTTAAAACACCGGGTTCCAATCTTTCCTGTCACTGAGGTGTCCCTCCACCCCCTTGCAGTCTTTGCTCGTCCCCCAGGAGGAGGCTTGCTCATAGCCTGCCACGCTGCTCTGTCTCTTCTCACTGACTGTCTGAAAGAACTGCACAGTACAGCACACTGAAGCCTGTCAGGTCTCAGTAAATATTAATTGCGCTTTTTTTTCTTTCTTTCTTTTTTTTTTTTAAGGCAGAAGGGAGTAATTTCATTACATTAGGGCATCCAATCCATTATGAGCTTTTACCGTCATGTCACTGAAACAATTTCATTAAGCTAAAGGCCTGTAAATCATTGGAGGTCACTGCACTGCCCTCTGCGACCTCCCAGAATGCCTTTTTTTCTTTTACTGGAAGTTGCAGTCCTCTGTCCTGAAAGTACTAAATCTCAAGGCTTTATCTGCCCAAGAGCTGCAAGAGTGCGTGGGGAATATACCAATTCCAAATTAGACTCAACTAATCTAATTTTATAGTCTTTTTATTATTCTAAGCACCAAATGTCTGTGGTGTTTGAGGCTTCTCTCTATTGTTACTGGTCCCATCTGGTTGGTCATTCTATTGAAAGATTTTTCACTAAATACAGGTTCTGCCTAACTGTATCAGTGAGAGAAATCCATTGATAGAAAATATTCAAGAAATTGTGTGCACGCACACACACACACACACACACACACAATTACAGTCTTAATAATGTAGTACTTTGCTATGAAACAAGTATAATTTAATACACCTAAGATTGATTTTTCACATTTATTTTACCCAGATATGCATGTTTAAATATATTTTACAGTATTTGGGAACATATGGGTACATATGCATACGTGTGCATTTCAACTAGAAAATTATTTTTTTTTGCTCCCAGTGCTTGAATCAAAATGTACAATTTAAGTATTTAAGTCCCTATGTATCTGATAATTTACATTACACTCTGTAAAAAAATCTGTATTATATGATACTGTATAAGCTATACATACATTTAAATACAATACAGACATTGCAAAAGATGTGAATACACACCCCTTGTTCTGTGTGGTCCTTTGCCTAGACTACAAGGTTGGCGGGACTGTCTGTTCTGCATGTCTGTATAGTATCTAGCACAACGGTGCTATGATCTTTTTGGGGTTTATAGGTGCAACTGCATATTAAACAAAATTATTATAACTATTATATACACAGTGTACATACACACTTGCACCAGTACAGATATGATCATGTGGTGTGGTAGAAAAATCATCATCATCCTCTGTGCTCTGCACTGTACAGACATTTAAGAAACCATGCATTGCCCCAGCAACCTTCCAGTGAACGTAGAAATAAACCATCAACTAGACACAATAATAACTATAATACAATAAAAGATAGTTAGCATCTTTTTAGGTAGAAAGCATGTGTTAATTTAAAGTTCTAAATGACTGTAGCATTCATTTGGAACTTCTTCATGAATCACCATATAGGTACAAATTGAGCCTACTGATATACATTATGAGTATGTATATATCTAAAGCCCAAGTGTCATTTACCCAAGCTGATGTGGTCCTATCGTAATGGACCAGGCTCAGTAAACGCCAAGCTTTTTATGATTTAAAGTGTATGAAATATCATACTGATTATCATGGCTACCAAACAGCTTACAAGCATAAACCCAGTTTAAGTTTCTCATAGTTCTCATAACTTAACAAAACATGCTGAATTTGGCAAATCTTTGAGCAGCATCCCTCATGCTGAAACAAAAGATGTAACATAATCTAAAGGGGATCACACACACACACACACACACACACACACACACACACACTTCTGCATCTTTTGGGAGTAGAAGGAAGGAGTTGCTAAGGGGCTACTTTTTGGATCTTTATTTACTGGTGGTTTCTGAAATGTTAACATTTGTCACTTTACTGGAACGGTGTCTAAGTGATCATTTAGGTGTCAGGATTGCTATAACAAGCATTAAAAATGGAGTAAAACACATGATATCTCTTGTGTGTGTGTTTAAGAACTTTATATTGCAACTTGCTTCCTCAGGTACATTATTCATCTAATTCACATGTGCTTTGCATTTGATGTTAAAGAAAAATCATGTTAAAGAAAAAGCAGGAGCCAGCGATTAGGTGAACACGGGTACCACCTATTTCTTTCTTTTCAAACTCATTAGGTTGTGTTGCCTAGTTTTAATTGAGGTATGGGATGCTATCTACTTTACTGCCAAATATGCTAAGATCTAAGTAAATAGGCCCAGAGTGATTAATATATGTATTCAACATCAGAAAGCCTTCTGTTAGTCATATAAGTCTATGTAAACAGCGTAATTTTTTTTTTTTAAGAATGCTGTTCTGTTGCTTGGATTTTATGGTAAAATGTATTTAATAAATCATATATAGTTCTCTGTGGGCCCAATACTGCCAACAGTAACTACCAAGCTTAATGCCTGAGGGGTCTATTAATCAATGGGACCATTCACAGCAGTAAGGTAAGCACTACATGCTTTGCAGAGCTAGTATATTCATAGGATCGGGCCCCAAATTATTAAGCTTTCTAGATGGATCTCATTTTGCATTAGTTACACCTGCCCTTTAGGACTAATTTCAGCTTCCTAACAAACAAGCTATAGGAGCACGATGTCTGAAAGACAGCCAGGTTAAGCATTTAGGGAACGCAACAGGGGGCCAGTGTCACCTGAGTTTCAGTCTTAGTTCTGTAAATGATTAAGGCCCCATTTCTGCAAACACTTATGCATGGGCTTAATTTTAAGCATGCAAATTATCACTCTGAAGACAATGGGATTAATCATCATCTTAAATTTAATCGTGTGCTTGTTTGCAAGATTGGGGAAACAAATCATATGCTGTGATACTCAAAATGGACAACTTGTGCTTTAAAGAAAAAATAATCAGGATCTGAGAAAAGCTACAGCATACAGGGAAAAACTGAAGAGTCAGAGAAAAAAAAATAGAGGACGCAGGACTACATTTCCCTGAGGTACACATTGTACCACAACTGTCTCCACTTATCACTTAGCTCTGAATGTAGTGTTCAAACATGCACATAAAAGAACTACATATCCATTTGTCAGCTATTACTATCTTTCAGGTAAGTTTAAAAAATGGCATCCGTTTTATGTGACAGTTTTGTGTGTCAGTTTTCAGACATTTGTTGAAGAGATTTTTCTCCTCGCTATTGCCAAAATAATATAACTAAGGAAGGCTGCATCTCTGATGATTAGAGCAGAGGACAGGAGGACATCAGTCCTGGGTTCTGGTATTCTTCTGCCACTCAGATGATGTGTGATCTTTGGAAAGTCGCGCTTTACCTGACTTTCTCCCCACCTATGAAATGAATACAACACTGACCACATGGGGATGTTTTGAGGCTTACCTAACACTTGAAAAGTGGTTGGATTGCCTCTTATGAAAGGCACTATAAAATGTGCCCACTGCAACCTTTATGAAAGTGGGTCTTTTTATAGCTGGCTGGAAGAAAAGAGGGTTTAACCCTGTAGAGCTCCCTTATAGCAAGTAGGGAGAAATGGGAAAGTTCATAGGGATGCACGGGAAGGGCAGGAAGCAGATGGGGCCAGATTAGGACAAAGTCACTGCATTGTCCTTCATGCTGACTAGAAGAGTAGGAGGGTATTTATGTCCCAAGCAACCTCTTTACCAGGACTGGGCTACCCACACATGTACTTGGCAAATGGGTTCTCTTTTGACCCACTGTGGGAATTATGCTAATTGCCCTATTCTTTTCAGGGCTGAGAAGGAATTTTCCCCTTACCCCCGGATTGGCCGAAGCCAGCTCATTTTTTTTCACCTGCCCCACAGCTATTCTGTGACCTTATGGGGTGGAGTAAGGGGATTAGGTTATACTGTCACAATTTACTACATAAAACCTGTGGTGGATTTCCAGTGCACGTACTTGGTATAGAAGGGATACAGTTATGGGACAAAATGGATTGGGAAAGGATTTAGAGGAAAGCATTCCTTAAGGAAGTTAAGTAAGGGGGGGTTGGGGCTCCTACATCTCATCAGCAGGGAGCCAACCCCCTCCTTTTCCTGTCCCCCTTGAAGGGGTTAAGGAAGAGGGTTTGGGGCTCCTAGCTCTTGTCAGTGGGAAGCTGACCCCCTCCTTCCTGAGCTGTACAATATGTTGCCTTGTACCCCTGGATATTATAAGTGAATAAAGTTGCAGCTAATTAAACCACATCCATGATCTCCTGTCTTTCTTCCACACAGACGGACAGATACAATGTATTCTTATGATTAATAATAAGGAATATGTTTGGATAAAATTAACAATTTGAACTACAAAAGAAAATAACAGAGGAAACAAACTGCATCTTTCTGCTCAGGCAGTCGCTCCTGGGGTATTACTGGAGCCTCTGAACAGCAGGCAGACTTACAATATGCATCATGTAGACTGTGATAACTAGAAACAAAGGTGGTGGTGGGGCGGGGGGATATCGAGGAAGGAGTGCCAGATTTAATTTTGAACCTCCAGGCTTTTGTCAGGTTAAGATGGATCCCTAACATTAACAGGAATTAAAGTATTTGTGTAGGTTTAAATGGTAAACCCCTCATGAATAATTTCATACATTAGAGCCTGGACTTGGGTCCATGGCTTTTGTCAGAAGTGTCTCTTGCTTTGACGTCAGCAAACATGGGAAACCCTGCAACATATGTGTGATTAAATAGCTGCTCTGACTTCACCCAAGAGGCTTCAGGGAACTGAAACTTCTATGACAGGCAATTAAATCCTACTAGACAATAACAACAGCTACAGATATATAACAAAAGAAGTCAGAAAAAAAGAATAAAATTGGATATCAAGGAAAAGATGTATTAGCTACTTAAGATAAAGGTAATGTTCGAGACAAGAACACTTGAAGCTTGTAAATTGTTGACTGAAGAAATGAAATATTTCTTTTT